GTAGGGAATTTGTTTACTTTTCTGCATTTTGTTGGATTCAGTAGAGGGGTTGGTACCAAAGGTTCAAAACTCAGCTCTCTTCAGAAAAAGGAACTATGACAAAAAATAGCGTCATGTTCTAAAGACAGTGCTGTACTCACTGCATATTATTCTTCCTTTAACATAATGCTCTGCAGTCCTGTTCCCATTCCTTATATGTTTCCCGCCGTGTGCATGTTATATGCTGTACCAAACCTAGTTATCTCTAGAGCCCTGCAAATCTGCAGATATCTGCTTTATATCTGGATAAAGATGTGGATGCAGTTGCAAATTTTGTATCTAGCACTCTGTACATTTGTGGATATCCACTTTATATCTGCAGGTATCTGCATCCGCAGATGTGGATGCAGATATTCACGGATCTTTTTTGCAGATGTGGATGTGGATACAAATTTTATAGCTGTGCAGCGCTCTAGTTATTTATCTCCTAGGAAGACTCGCATTGTTTCCTGAGGCTGCTGCAATACTCCTTGCAAGAGCACAGTGTGTGCTCCTCTTTAAACCACTTATCTGGTTTTGAAGAGGAAGGATGGGGCTATTAACATCCCCTACTCCATCAGTGGCATTGGCCTCATGCATACTCATGGGAGTGTAAGGACTGCCAGTGTGCCCAACCACATTGTGGATGCTCTTGGTGGCCTTTCTTCTTATCGTGAAATTGCAACTGCATAGGAGTTATCACAGTTTCTCCCTAAGGACTGTGTTCCCTTAAGCTAGTAGTTCTCAAGTGGGTATGTGGACCTTGGGGATATATTACGTCATCTAGATATTTGTCTAGTTTTGTCACAGGCTAACATAAAAATCACTAGTGAAGTCAATACAAATGAAAATGTTGCAATGACTTACTTACACTGCTCTATATATTATACACTGAAATGGAAGTGTAATATTTATATTTTCATTGATCTATTTCAGCGTTTCCCAAACTATGGGCCATGGGAAAAAAATACCGGGCCTCAGCGTGCCTGGTGACTGCTGGCAGCGCCGGCCTTAGGCCGATTCGGGCCCCACGCCCCTGAACCCAGAAGTGCCGGCGAATTACAGAGCCGTGGGCCCTGCTCCACCGATATGTGGAGCTGGGTCTCTACGAAGGGCCGGCGAGTTACAGAGCCCCCTGCGCATCCTCCCACTCCGCCCCCAGAGCGTCCCCGCCATGCGCGGCTCCTCCTCACCGCCTGCTGCTGCCCATGTGCAGCCTTGCACGTGGGCGGGGAGGACACCCGGGCGTGACGTGATGTCACGGTCTGGGATTTTAAAAGTCTTTGGAGGCATGTGGCAGGGCCACGCTGGCTCCGGCAGCCTCCGGCCCCACAATGTGGGAGGCAGAAGGTAGGGAACAGGCTTGGGTGGAGGCAGCAGCAGCAGTGGAGGGGGGCTTGGGTGGAGGGGGAGGAGTGGAAGGAGAAGGGGCTTGGGCAGGGGGAGGGGAAGGCACCAAGGAACAGGGTGCAGGAAAGAGAGACAAATGCCAGGGGGCCAAGTGCAGACAACGAGGGAAAGGGCAGGAGGGGAGGTGTTAGTGGGCGGGGGGACAGGGTGATGTTGGGAGAGGAGAGGAGAAGGGCATTGGGGGCTGGAGGAGGAGGTGGTGGGAGAAGGCTTGAAAGAAGGGGTGGGCATGTGAGAGGTGGGGTTGGAGCAAGTCAGGTGGGAGGGCACAGAGGGGCAGGAGGGGATGTGGCAGAGAGTGCTGAGGGGATGG